ACTCTCACTAAAATATAGGGAATCACCTCTTGAAGTGAGTTACTAACAGGCACTAGTGCTCCCAGGCTTACAATATTTCTCTAACTGATGTCAGTCCTTGATAACCACCAACTTGAAATCAACAAATAAGTCCCGACAAACCTCAAAATGGAATTAATTAGTTTTATCCGTCAGTAGTTTTCATAAATTAAGATGACCCAAGTGACAAGATCCCACTAATGGTGAGAAGGGTCAATGGTACAATGGGAAGTATGCATTGAAGTGAATTGTCTTGATTCGATTACAAGGTAACAGCAAATTGTCGCGGGACTATTGATAATACTTTATTTGTTTTTGTCATTATGAATCATATGTCAGCTGTGTTAAGATCTCACAACCAAACCCATCTTAACACTAATTTTACGAGAGAATAAAAAGTGAAAACAGATTCAACTTCGCGTGATGCAGTGAGAATAGAGGAACATAACACAGGAATAATACGCGTTTAAGTCAGTGGGTAGAGTTGAAAGTCTTTGGCCTGTCAGTCATAAGCCAGGCGTAATAGAGACAATCTCCAAAAGACTAGGAAAATTAGACTCAGAAGACAAACATATTATGGAGAAGATCTTGAGAAACAAGTATCCTGAGAAGTGTTTTTTCAGGTATGAGCAGAGATATGCTGAAGAGCGTAAACGTCTAAGTGTTGAGAAGAAATCAGCTTATATTCGTCTGGCATTCAAACAAGATGATATATCACAAAGAATAAGCGTATGGATAAAAAGATACACTTGAACGAAGCTTCTGTTTGATATTAAATTGGCAATGCTGTTAACTCACCGACTGAAGCAGAAGTAGATCAGTTTTACTGTCATATTATCTCCACCTGTAGAACCGAGAGGAAAGCATTTACTCGATTTCGCGAGAATACTCAATAAAACCTTTGATTGAAAGGGAGTGACGCTTTTACTGGTGCAATAGCCAAACATGTGATAGAAACTGGACACTAAATAGATATTTCTCAGCTGATTAATACCCTTGAAATAAAAGGATGTCATTTTGCCCCTTTATTCTGGCCTGTTAACTTATCGATCATATCCATGTAATCTAACTAGCACTTTATACGTTTGTCTTTCAAATGAAGCAGAAGCCATAGAGATTCAACTGGTAAAGTCAGATCCTCGTGTTACAAAAATGTTCTTAAAGTTTATTCGTCTTCCATTGCCATGACCATAGTTTATCAGTGTAAGGACGACTCTTTCTGAACTATTATTCTACTTGCTATTATTACAGTCTTAATTATCTTTTTTCTGCTCTTTGTATCCAGTTGATCTTGAGTAATTAGTATGAACAGTTGAACATTTGACTAAACCATTCATTCTTCTTACCAAATTAGCAGCTGTAAAACAGCCTTTATCGATTTTCATGGTTTCACTGTTTCATTATTTACTTTTTACCTCTTTTCTTAATTTTCGCGATAATCGTTCACTTCCTTGATCTGTTGGAATTTGAAAGACTCTTATTAACCATTTTTCCACCACCAGTTTGGTAGGTTACGCGAAATGGATTAAAAGTGCTGTGCATTAGTGCATAACCGCTGATGAAAAGTGTAAAAACTAACAGAAAGACAGTTGATTAGCGAATGCTTTCCATTCAGAATGTGGAATAAATATTCATCCTTGAGATGAGTACCAATCACTTTTCGAAACAATTATTATGAATTTAGATAGTGTAGTAGTTAGAGTACTAAATCTATCTGAACAATATGATGTTGACGTAATACATTTTGAACTTTCGGATCACACATTTACTTGTCAAGTTAATTTATATTAAACCGAAGAACGGGACGACAGTTTTGGCAATTAAGATAATAGGGGGTTAAAGTTAAGAAAGATGAGAACAAACAGGAAGAGTGCCATAACTTACCCTGGTCTTCGTATGAAAACAAAGAGAATAATAATCATCCGCGATTATTAGACGTACTCCTGAGTCGACAATAAGAAGGTTCACTAAGAAAGTCAGTTCACAGAAAGCTTATATTGACATGACAGCATCTAAATTTTCAGTTTTTCTCCAATCCAATACTAGCGAGGTCTAGAAAAATGCAAATTTGATGGAATCTAACGTATTAGTACATCAGATATGATGGATGAGAATATCAACCCACTGACTAAAACGCTTTTGAAAAACGGATATCCGTTGAAGTTTACAAACCGTTGTAGAGACCACCTATATACACGGTTGCCAAGAAAAGCGTCCATATCACTCTACCATACAGAAGGGAGTAGAATGGTATCATTTTGAGATGTAGACTAACATAAGCCGTTGAGAAAACATATTATGCAGCTAATCTTATTGTTGTGGAAAGAACGAAACACATTCTTCACCGCAAACCTAAACACTGCACCAATGATTACGTCAAATCCCACAGCGTTTACCACTTTACATGTGTAGCTGGTCGCAGATATACAGGGAGGATTAATCAAGACATGTTGAGAGTGGGAGATTATATACCTAAATTGCTTCGAAAACAAATAGAGTGTGAAACGTTGAAACGAGAAGGTGGGAAACAACTCTCTTCATCTATAGCTAAACATATTATATTTCTACTAACCAAATAGCACGGCATCCGTGGGTATTCATAATCAATTCACGTTTGCCTACGCTTTACACATTTATACATAATGGACTGGTATTCTTCATCGACATCGTAGTGATTAATAGCCATGTTCTCAGATTCTGTAGTTGAAACATTTTTACCGATTGAAGCCATTAACATTATCCTCAAAATAAACTTTAGTTGCCTAGTGGTAAGTGTATTGCCCTCTCTATGTGTTTCAGCTAGCTAAAAGCATCTGTATATTTGTCATTATTTTTGGTACTTGCAGGTAAATTAGGTAATGATTACAGCGATACACAGAGAAACTAATTTGTCTGAGGTACATTTTGTTTCATTTAGTATGACACAGCCAGACTCCGACAAGACAACCAAGTTTCCTGATATGTAATAGTTTTAAACACCTACTTTAAAGGAGCTCTTCTAAAGATTCGCGTCTGACTCTCAAGAATCTTAAGGAAACTTGAAACTATTAAGCCTTGTTATGCCTGCGGAAAAAGATGCTAGTGATGATGAGCACAGGTCAAACAACCAGCTCCAAAAGTCATTTGAAGATCTGTCTAAGACACTTCTAAAACCAGCTATCGGAGGGTTGATAAAAGTCCTGCCAAATTGTTTTTGTTGTACTTTCAGCGACGTGGAAAGGAGCTGCGGCTCTCAATCACCTTCAGCTAAATCATATAGTGACTTAAAATACCACTCTAATCACACTGACAGAATTCATGCCTAATTTTGCAAACTAGTCAACCGTTGACCTATGTGCGCACAAGAAGAAGACACATAAAGCTCAAATGGTATGAGAGTTGGCATGTTGCGTAAGACTCCACTCAACTTAGCACCACTCTAATAATTATCACATAACTCGGTCCATTTTCACTCTGACACCTGGAAAATTTGATCGGCAAACAGATAACAAGAAGACCAGATAATCGTGTGGTGTCAAACAACTCATCACCGACACTGCAAATAATAAATTCCAGCGTTAGCTTGTTAGTTTGATTTAACACACATTGACAGTGTGATTTGTTGGATGACATTTCGAGCAGAATTTATATTTCATATTCATATCAGAGCAACCAAACGATTTTGGTATGGATATGAGCAATAAATTATACTCGGAATGTCATTCAGTAAATTATACTGTTGCTGTGTGC